TACCTCAATTAGGTAAAAAGTTAGAGGGGGTGGAAGGGACTTTTGGATCACCCTGTAGTCCTTTTGTACTTCCTTTTAAAGCCTGAAAGTTGTAGATTTTATAGTATTTTCTTCTAAGTTTTTCTACAGTCAACACAACTAGGGGTGTCTGGTGTCAGCCTAGAGTACCTGGAGAAGCACCAAACGCCACTGCTCTTCAAGAGTACGCTCCGGAAATGATGGTTGGATTTCTTTTGGATAACAGCTTTTTGCTCAGTACCTACTATTGTGAAGTTGCATTTACATTTCTTGTGTTCCGATCGAGTTTTGTTTCATAAAATAAATGAAAAGCTGAGAGTTTTGTCCTCGGTCCTCCTCGAGCAAAAGCAGTAGGTATCAACAAGTGTGACAAGTTTATTCACATTGGAAAGTGCTCGAGCGGTCTGCCGTGTTACGGAAGAAAGACGTAAGTGCAGTCTGGGATGAACCCCGAGACGTATAAGAGCACGTGCTAACCACGGCTCACACAGAAACGGGCTTGCGGCTCTCTTCCGTAAGACGGCAGCGGTTATCGGAGCGGCTGTAACGTCGTGCAATAAAATGGGGATATTTTACGAGAGTATAAAGGGGTGGAAAAGTGCTATATTTCAGCGATATCTGGCAACGTTTCCGACTCGATGTGGAACTCGCAGGATTCTTGAAAACGAGTGTGAAATTGCCAAGAGCAGCCGGTAGCTTCGCCTTCAGACCGCGAGACCGCTGCTCCGCCCTGCTGCAGGTTAAGAAACACCTAACTTCAGGCGGACTCTGTAGGCGAGTGCGCGGTTTTCGCCGCGCGCGGCAGCGCTACCATCACCGTTTCATCCGTAAAACCAGTCGGCCTTCACTCGATTCTTGACAATTTCAATTCCATCCAAGCTCCGCCGAACGAGATGCTGGGAGCCGATGTTTATGGATATGACGCGCAACTTTGCGTCTTGTTTTATTCGGCCGATCCTTATCTCCGATTCCACCCCTTCGAATTGAGAGCTTCGCGCCGAAAAATTCCCGCGGTGTGCGCTGGAAGCCAAGTGTTGAAAAATTCGTTGTCGGGTATCCACGTTATTTCATCGTTTCCTCAACTCGGAAAGACGTCATATTATCGTAGAACCTGTGGCTTTGAAAGGTTCCAGGATATCAGTGGTCGTGGAGAAAGCATGATTGTAAGAGACGAGACATTAGTTTTTAAGTCGATAACAAGGCAGGGCCGGATGAAGGGGACATGGGCCGCGGCCCATGGCGGCAAATCTGGGGGCGGCAAATTTTGCAATTTTTTTAAATGTAGGTATAAAAAGAAATCGGATTTAGAAAAAAAAAATTACAAACAAGAAAAGGCTACAAAATCTCTCATTTCCAGAGAGTATAGTCATTTCTAATTTTGTCGTCTTTCAGTGATACAAGAGACAGCACCTTTAATTAGTCGAGTTATGAGAGAAACCAAACACACAATTTGGCCTGGAACGGCGCACTATGGTCCAGAGACTGGATTTAACGGAACTTTATTCGAAAATGCACTGCACCGCCATAAAAGGTGTTGGATCTTATGATTTTTGGGTTGCTGATTTCATTTTACATCTTAGTTAAACAAAATATCAACATCCTGACCGAGAAACTTAACTTCAAATGTAATTTCTGGCGCTTTTAAGATTGAAGATTTTTTCCACCCTATTTTGACATGTAGTATAAAAATAATAACAAAAATGTCTCTCGGTCGAAATTAGGTTATTCTTATGTATTTTTAGGCGGTAAATCCGAATATGACCTCCGTTTTTGTCCATTACCCTTCAATTTTTCGGAAAAACCGATTTTACCTGGAAAAGCTCGTTCTCCAAGGAAAATTGAATTTTCCGGGATAATGAGGGGTGATAGGAAAAATCTAAGACCATATTCGGGTTTAGCAAGTCAGAATGCATAAGAATCGATGTATCGCACATCGGTATCATTTTTAAAATGTATTTTTAACACACTTAGAGTCCGGAAAAGGTTTTACCCAAAAGGCTCGGGAAAATCGGCATTATCGGAGAACTGAAATGTGATAAAAAAAACCTAGGTCATATTCGGATTTAGCAGCTTAATATACATAACAGAATCTCTTTACCGCGGGTCCAGTATAATTTATCAACATGAATTGCAATTATGGCAAAAATACGTCAAATTTGCTCATTTTCCCGGGAAAAAGTCGCTTTTTCGGAAAAGTGAGAGGTTATAAGAAAAAACCAAGGTCATTTTCGGACTCAGTAGATCAAAATATATCGGAATACTTTCATTTTGTACCGATAAAAAATTTAACAGTCGCAAAAACGCCAAAAATGCATGGAATATTCCACATTTTGATGCACGGAGGTGCACTCCGAAAAAAATTCATTTCGACCATTAGGCGACAAAAGACGACATTTAAATTGGCCTCATTTTAAACTTAAGGATATGTAGAACAAGATTTTTCAATCCGCAAAGCATTAACTAGAATTAAAAAAAAGTTGGAGCTTCCTAAAAATTACGAATTTCACTGATTTCTATCATTTTTTGGCGTATGTTTGCAGCGTTAAAAAGCATAAAAATTTCAGTTAAAAATTAATGAAACTGGGTGAAAAGGAAGTCACTTGCCACCAGGTGGAACCATGTTGCCCAAAAATTTACATAGATGATGCGTAACTCGGTAAAATAAACACCTTTTAACGCACCACCGAATGCGGCCCACAATCAGCTAATGAAGACCTGTCGCGCGCTCTGTTGTTAGGGTCCGTCACAATCTTATAAATCATTATTAGTCGATGAAAACTTAGGTGACGATCCATGGGAGTATGTATGATAAAACTGTAGTGCCAAACTTTAATTTTTCCCACCTTCAAAATTTGACTAAAGTTCCGTTAAATAGGGTCTGTGGACCATAGTGCGGCGCGGCGCGACTTAGGGAGAATTGATGACGAGGACTTGAGATGAAAAGGAGAAGCCCTCGGCGCGGCAATCGGCATGTAACATATATTAGCGCCTACAAGACTGCACGAATACTTCACGCATTGCATCAAATAGTGCGGTTATTGTGGTCAGCGTGAAACGGATGGCGCCTACAAGAATGCATGAATACTTCACGCATTGCGCCAAACACAGTGCGGTCAGCATGAAACGCATAGCGCCTACAAGACTGCGTGAATACTTCACGCATTGCGCTAAACACGGTGCGGTCGGCGCGGCGGCGGAGTCCTTCCTATGACGGTTGAAATGCCCCAGACCAAAATCATCTTGGGGAAACGATGCGTCTCGGAGTTTTCGTCGTTCCCGTGACGTAAGGGCGTATCTCAATTTTAACGTAAACTCTGTGGTCCGTATAACTAAATGCTTTTCGGGGCTAACTTGGAAATGGAGATGCGCTTTTACGTTGAAGGAGTGACGTTTTTATCTTCCAAAGTTGGCGCAGCGGGATCTGTTTCCGCGGGACAGCAACACAGCACTCCGGGGTGCAGGGGTCTTCCCAGCAGTGCTAGTAGTTCCGGACTCCAGAAATTTCGAGATTTTCCTGAATTTTTCCCGGAATTTGTGAAGTTTCCAAAATGTTCCGGATCTTGCGTATTCCGGAACTCTCTAGGAACTTTTCAAAAAATCTATGAGGAATCTCGGAACTTTTGACGGTCGTGGAGTGGGAGAAATTGGAACAAAAAGGTTCCGGATCCCGGAACTTTTAACGGACATGAAATGGGAGCACTGCTTCCCAGAGGCAGAGACCCCCATACCAACCTCTTGGCTAACATTCGGAGGAAGAACTCGAAAAAAGTGAGGGCTGAAGGGACTCACCTGTATATACTGTTGGGGTTCTTGATGAATGTTTCAGCGATAGCCGCGATCCTGAGGATCCTCTGAAGCATTTTCTCTATCCTAATTCTGCCGGGGACGACCATGTCCTCGTCGCGAACAACGGGCCCGTCCGGCTGGATCTCGGTGAACGTCGACTCCCGTCCCGGCTTCTTCTTCGTCTGCTTCCTCCCGCAGGTGTTGTTGTTATGTACATTGATGTTGTTGTTGTTGGTTTGATACTTGCTCGAGTTCTTCTCGGGAAGCTCCAGGATGAGCGGGCTCTTGGTCTGCGGGGGCTCGGGCGGAGCCGGAGGCTTGTTGAAAGACGCTTGGGGCGGGGCGATACCGGGG